GATAGAGCCTGATGGAACCACTGAGACTATGGCCCCTAGCTGCCCTTCAGGTCTGGAATTGAACCCACACCTGTGGCTTCCAGCCAAACAAAAGACAAGCATATGAGTTGAACATTTACCTGAGGTAGATACACTCCTTGGAGAGAACAATCATGGGAGAAAAGAAGGACTATGTATGCACAGAGAGACAGCTCAGGGCAGGAGTGCATGGAGGGCTGGACACAGGGAAGAGTTAACTATCAGGAGGAAGAAGGAGGGGATCTGTTGCATTGGAGTAAATTGTAATCAATGTCATGAAAAAAAGTTTATGTGAACTGCTGTATTGAAAGTGAATTTGCTCCATAAACTTTCACCCAAATCACAGTTAAAAAAAAAAAAAAGTTTCAAAACTTTTTCATTTTCTCTATTTATTTTGTCAGGGGCTGGTAACAGTTTGTGGACTGGCATCATCTGTGATCACTTTCTGAGCCTCCCTTTTCTAGGTTATTTTATAACCTAGTTTCATAATAGGGAGCTCTGGTGGCATAGTGCCTAAGGCATTCAGCCACTCCTCGGAAGGAAGGTTGGGCAATCTACTTGCACAGAGATATCACCTCAGAAACCCAGGGAGGAGGGGTTGCTATGAGTCAGAAATGACTCAACGACAGTGAGTTTGGGTTTTTTTGGTTTTGAGTTTCATAATGATTATACAGCAAAATAAAACCTGTAGTCAAATAAATTTGGAAAATGTGCACATCTTTTCAGTCTTTGATATGCTGATGTACATTGTGAATCTCTAAAACCAGGGTATATTTGTATAATGTATTTTATACAAAGGAGTTTTTGTGGTGAAGTGGTTTAAGCATTGGGCTGCTAACCAAAAGATTGGTGGTTTGAACCCACCAGCTACTCTGTGAGAGAAAGATGAGGCAGTCTGCTTTTGTAAGATTACACCCTTGGAATCCCTATGTGGTAGTTCTCCTTTGTCCTGTAGGGTCATTATGAGTCAGAATTGACTCGATGGCAATGGATCTTGGGTTTGCCCTAAGAAATTTTCTCTTTATAGGCTATCTTGAGTGACTGGTGTTCTTCAAATATACTTTAAGAAATATTAGTCTGAATTCTTAAGGATTATAATAAGCAGGTACTACCTCCAATGGAAACAAGGTGTTAACTTCAGTTAAAATGAAAATTTAGAAAGTTAGTTAACTTTCTGTATAGAGGGGGCTCGTTTTGACAGAGTGGGGTATTTGGCCAAAAACGAAATGGGAACCATATTTTCCTAAGACTCTAGCTTTCTAAGGAAGCCTAACCTCCTCAGTTGTAGTCTTCTGTGAGAACCACGTAGGAAAGGCACCATTTACTCTGCCTCAAAAACTCTATTGAAAATAACAAATACTGAAAGCAAGCAAAAGTAAAGGGAGGGTAAATAAATATCAATGTCAATAAGATGAACTGATATGCAGCCATTTAAATGTCAACACATAGTTTACAATAATCTAGGAAAATAATTGTTGTTGTTGTTGTTATGTGCCATCGAGTCGGCCCCGACTCATAGCGACCCCTCCTTGGGTTTCCGAGGCAGTATCACTACGGAAGTAGGATTGCCCAACCTTCCTTCCGAGGAGTGGCTGGTGGGTTTGAACCGCCAGCCTTCTGGTTAGCAGTCAAGTGCTTTAGCCACTATGCTACCAGAGCTCCTAGGAAAATAATTATATTAAGCTTAAGTAAGAAAATCAGGATATAAAATGTAAATATAGAATAATTCAAAATATATTGAAAAGAAAAAGACAAGAAAATGTCACAGTGATGTGTCTGGATGGACTCATAAAAGATTTTTTTTTTTCTTTTTCTTTGTAACTTTACACACTTCCTATACTTAGATGGGCTCAAGCATAGCAAGCATTGAAGATGGCAGGACCGGGCAGTGTTGTTCAATTCTACCGTACATAGGGTCGCTATGAGTTGGAATCGACTCAGTGGCACCTAACAACAAGAGTACTTGGATAGGGGACAGAGAGATGTATAAAGCATGTCTTGTCTGTTTTAGTCTTCTTGAATTTGCTTTCTCTCAATCATAATTTGCACATGTTCCTGAATTACTGTGGTACATTATAGTATATTTGGGGTTTTGCAGGTATTCATCACAAATGGGTGGCTGAGTGATGTTGTCATTGTAGTTGCAATCACAAATCGTGAAGCTCGCTCTCCTGCCCATGGCATTAGCCTTTTTTTGGTGGAAAATGGGATGAAAGGATTTATCAAGGGACGAAAGCTATGTAAAATGGGATTAAATGCCCAGGTAAGCTATAATAAATCATACTCGGGTAATGAGATTATTATCAATCTAATAGATGCCTTGTGTAGAGAATATACATGTGGAACAATCAACCTTTCTACACTGAGGTCTTGAAGTATGTTCTTCAGAGGTTTATTCCACCATTTACACCACCACAATGGCTCTTTCTGGTGGTCAGCTATGAAAGTGATCTAGGGCATCTGGATATGTGCTTTAGAATTGGCAAAATCAGCTGCATGATCAACCCTTTCTTTAGGAAATTGAAAAAAATTATGAAGAACAGAAATATTTTTTTCTCCTACGTATTACACAGTTACCAAAAATAAATGTGTATTTCTTATACATTGGAAATCCTTAGTTCTCAGTACATAAATAAACGAACAATAGTAGAGCTAGAAAGATAGTGTATTGTAGGTAGAGGGGGAGGCATAAGCTTTGGAATCAGACAGACCTGGGTTAGAATCCTTGGTTTACTACCTATGTAATTAACCATTTCAATTTACCTTCAGTTTTGTTTTTCTCTTAAGTGGGAGTAATACCTAATCAGGTTATTGAGAGATTTAAATGAGATTGTTCTCTTCTTAATTTTATGGCTTCTTAGGATACTGCTGAACTATTCTTTGACGATATTAGGTTGCCAGCTAATGCCCTACTTGGAGAAGAAAATAAAGGCTTCTATTACCTCATGCAAGAGCTTCCACAGGTAAGAGTAAATAATGAACTGGGACAGAATAACATAGACTATAAAAATCCATGCATGCAAAACTTATGACCTAGCCAATAATTTGAGTATAACTTAAAATTGTAAAAAATAAGGATTTTAATTGAACTCAGAGTTAGTTAATCAAAGCTTATAAAAGGGGTAGGGAAAATAAGTGTTTTAGCTCTGTGATTCCTTTTTGGAATAGTTTTAGGTTCTTAACTTAAGTCAAGAACTTTTTGTTCCTTTTAAGAAAATGTCAGCTAAGGCATTTGGCACATTTTTATAATAACTGAATCAAAGGGGAAAAGATGATATGTTCTGACTGAAAAGCTTTAACCACAAGGGTCGGTTGCCTTGTCACCCTTTTGGAATTTAGGTTCATAGGGATCATTGAACCTCAAATGTCAATAAAAGGGAGTATACCTCCTTTGGTGATTTCCATGGCATGGGCTAAACATGACATTAGGAAAAACAGCCAGGAACACTGTCATGGAATAGGGTATGATAAGATGGGGTTAAAGTAACTATGACTATGGGTACTTTTGCACTAATAGGCAGAATTTAAACTACACACTTTAAGATGTGCATTTCCAAGAGACATTAGGATACATAGTACACAGAGATAAATAAATAAATATCAACAACTATGGAATTTCTTTACTCATCTATAAATGAGAAAGATAAAAGGATATTAAATAAATTATATATTATATATTGATATGCAGTAAGGACAATCATTCATAAAAATGAAGAGTTTTCTTTAGAGAGTTATTCTTATAGATCATCAAAATAATATCATAAATCTCTATAGATTTAAAGAGCTAAGAAATAAAATAATCTTGGAGTTTTATAAAGATTATTTATGGGATTTATTATTGAAATCATGTGGTAGTAACTTCTATAATTAGAATAATGTTCAAGACCTAATTTTTGGGTTATAGGAAAGGCTAGTGATTGGTGAAATGGCAATTTCAGCCAGTGAATTCATGTTTGAAGAAACCAGGAACTACGTTAAACAAAGAAAAGCTTTTGGGAAAACACTTGCACATATACAGGTAAGCTTGTCATCATGCTTTCATAGTAGATATCAATTTGATCATTTGAATTGTGTCTAAGCCAAACATAAATTTGGGGTAATTTTCATTTAGGTGGTGTTAGAAGCCATGGAAGTGGATGAGATCACCTTGAGGGAGTAAGAGAGTTAGAGTAAGGCAAAAAATGACAGAGAATAGAGTCCTGAGAAAAACTACAAGGTTTAAAGGTAGATTAAGAAAGGAAGAGCCTACGAAGGAGATTGTGAATGAATAGCTAGAAGGGAGAAAGAAAACAAGGCAAGAATTATAACAGAAGCCAAGAAAAGAGAATATTTCAAGAAGGAAACAGTAGTGCCAAATGGTGTTTAGATGGAAAAGAAAATGAAGCCAAAGAGTACCTATTGGATATAATAGTATGGAGGTTATATTGGTATTTTTTAATAAAATCAGGGAGTGGAAGAGTGAATGGAAATGAAAAAGTAAAGATACATATGGGAGCCAACTCTTTCTTGAGTTTTCCTATGAAGGGTAGAAAGAATGGTTGCTGAGGGAAGAAAAAGATTTGAAGGCTAAGGAAGATATTTGGTGGTAATTAGTGTTTTTGTCCACCACTCATCCACTAATAATTAGAACATGGAATGTACGAAGTATGAATCTAGGAAAATTGGAAGTTGTCAAAAATGAAATGGAATAGATAAAGATCAATATCATAGGCATTACTTAGCTGAAATTAACTGATTTTGCCATTTTGAATCAGACAACCATATGATCTACTATGCTGGGAATGACAAGTTGAAGAGGAATGACATGCTACTCATAGTCACAAAAAAATATTTCAAGCTCTATCCTGAAGTACAGTGCTGTCAGTGATAGGATAATATCTATGTAATCACTACAAGAAAGATGAGTTAATACTACTATTATTCAAATTTTACACACCAACCACCAAAGCAAAAGATGAGGAAGTTGAAGATTTTTACCAATTTCTGCAGTCTGAAATTGACCAAACATGCAATCAAGATGTATTGATTATTACTGGTGATTGGAATGTGAAGCTGAAAACAAAGAAGAATCACCAGTAACTGGAAAGTATGGTCTTGGTGATAGGAGTTACACTGGAGATCTCATGATAGAATTTTGTAAGACCAATGAGTTATTCATTGCACATACCTTTTTTTAACAACGTAAACAGTGGCTATACATGTGGATCTCACCAGATAGAATATACAGGAATCAGATCAACTACATCTGATGGAAAGAAGTGATGGAGAAGCTCAATATCTTCAGCCAAAACAAGCCCAGGAGCTGAATGTGGAACAGACCATCAATTGCTCATATGGAAACTCAAGTTGAAGCTGAAAATAATTAAAACAAGTCCACAAGTGCCAAAATATGACCTTGAACTTAGAGACCATCTGAAGAATAGATTTCATGCATTTAACACCAATGACCGAAAACCAGACAAATTATGGGATGATATCAAGAACATCATACATGAAGAAAGCAAAAGGTCATTGAAAAGAGAGGAAAGGAAGAAAAGACCAAAATGGATGTCAGAAGGGACTCTGAAGGTTGCTTATGAACGGAGAGTTGCTAAAGCAAATGGAAGAAATTACAAGATAAAAAAGCTGAACAGAAGATTTCCAAGAGCAGCTCAAGAGGACAAAGTCAATTATTATTATTTTTTTAATAAAATCTGAAAAGACCTGGAGTTAGAAAACCACAAGGGAATATGATAGTTAGTATTTCTCAAGCTGACAGAACTGAAGAAAAAATTGAAGGCTTGAGTTGCAATATTGAAAGATTCTATGGGCAAATTATTGAACAATGCAGGAAAAATCAAAAGAAGATGGAAGGAATACACTGAGTCACTGTATGTGTCAGACTGGGTTCTCTAGAGAAACAAAACCAGTAAAGCTTATATAGAGAGAGAAAAGGAAATTTATCTTAAGAAAATGGCTCATACACTTATAGAAGCTGGCAAGTCCAAAATTCTTGGATCAAACATCAAGCTAGAGGCTTTTCCCGACTCTTACAGCTGCAGGGACTGAGAAGCTCAAGGTTGACAGGCAGTATACTGGCCGTTGACTCGAATGAATGACGAATCCAAAATCTCCAGGCCGAATGGTGGATTGTTTGCTCACGGACAGTTGTAGGCACTGCAACAGAATCCCGATCCACAGAAGAATGTCTCTTTTTCCAGGATGTCCATAAATATACTGGAAGCAAACCATACCCCTAGAGAAACTCCCTTTCAATGGATTGACTGCTCAAAACATATTCATCTGATCCCATCATGGGAATAACCACATCACAATTGCTTAAACCACACAGAACTGTGGTTCAGCCAAGTTGACAAACAGCTCCAACTATCATACTGTACCAAAAACAATTGGCCGGGGACTCCGGCAAGACGGCGGACTAGGCAGAAAGACTGTGCAGACCCTCTCCAACAAAAAAAAAGGGAAACCAATTAACACAGACACAGAAGATAATCTTGGACCCCTGAGCATTAAAGGGAAAGATATAGAAGTGGACTAAATCCTAACTAGCAGAAGAATTTGCATGAAAATACCAAAAAAGGAGACACACGGAGCTGTGGTCTGGCAGCGTTCCTGAGCAATCCTAACGGCACAAACAGCATGGAGATTACCGAGTGGTGGTAGGACCTAAGAATTAACCTAAAAAGCACCCTTCTAGCCAGGGACTGCACGGAGGACTGTGCACGTTGGCTGGGGAACAAACAGAGAAGGTGAAGAGAAAGGTGGGCTGAACTGTGGACTTCTGCCAGTCCGGAGGGTGCCACCATTTTGAAGGTTTAAAAAGCAGCTTGAGCCCTTCAGGTCTGGAATTGAACCCACAACTGTGGTTTCCAGCCAAACAAAGTACAGGCATGTGAGTTAAACATTTACCTC